GCTCCTAACGTTTTGTACGTCGAACCTAATTTAGGACGACTTATTAAAATACAAGCCTCCACTGTGAAAACTACTCCACAAGGAACACATTCGTTGGTCATAGGAATTATGATCAGAAACATTTCTTTCTTTCTTTGTTCACCACTGCCAATTTTTCTTTCTTTCCTTTTCTTTCCTTTTACACTTCTCCTCTCCCCACTTCCTGAATAGGAAATAAAATACAATATATTGAGAAAGGTAGATTTTTATATACAGATCACATTCACTCCTAACAACCAATTCTTCTGTTTTCAAAATAAAACCTTTTAATTGTTTTTATTTTTATTAATCCTATCAAAAACATGAGGAACAATCAAGACAATTTAACAATAACAAAACAATTTCAATTACATTTTAAATAGTGTGTTAGAAAATTCCACTCTACTAATGCTGTTACAATACCCTCCAGTACTATTGCAGTAGAGGGGGTAAATCTATTTCCAATCAAAAGATTTCTCAATATGATGATAAACTACATCTGGCAGCAAGGTCCACTGATCAGGAGATTGGAGGTTTTAGAAACGTTAAAACATCTCTTAATTGCTGTTGTTAGTAGATCCATCCTGACCCGGGGTGGTAGCGTCTGTTAGGGTCCTAGTTATGGGAAAACCTTAAAAGAAAACGCTATGAAATTATAAAAATACCAGCAATACATTTTTATATTAAATTATGACTAGTATATTTTTATATTTAAAAAATTGAGCAACAATACATTTTATTACTATTGCATTCAGAATATATTTAGTTGAATCATTTAAATTGTGTTCAAATTTGGTAGAATTCGGCGTTAAATAACTCAGAAAAGGTTGATGTCACTAAACGAAATCAAGCAAACCAATTGTCGCTCTAACCCTGCCATAATCAGTGTCGTCTGCGTATTCAATGTAATATTACATCCGCCGGTAATATATACGAGTTGTCTCATCAGGTTTTATGACATCTCGCACGAACAAGTTTAAATACATCCAATAAGAATATATATATTTGCCCTATTGCGTTTTTTTTCATATCTATTTTAGCATTTTAATTTATCCTTGCGCACATGACAGCTGCGCCTGTGTTTTTCAGCTTTTTCGATCTCTGCAAATTTCTCATTAAGTCGCCATTACACTTTTGTTTGCTCTCACGTAGTTTAATCGCATATATTCCGTGCCATTCCTCATTGTCGTAAGTTCTGTCTCACTCTCGGGTAATAATTATTACCTGTCGTCACTTGCTTCTATATTTGTCTTCCATTTTATTGTTATTAGTGCTTCATTTAAGGTGTTCCGCTATGAGGCAGGAGTAAATGGTAGTGTCGTCAGCATAGATGCCTACTTGGAACTGATGATATCGGGGAGACGTCTAATGAAGATAAGGAACAGAGTTTGGCTTAGGATAGAGGCTTGGGGAACACCTGCAAACGTGGGAAAGGAACTGGAGGAGAATTCGTTAAGCACGACCTTCATTAGACGGTGTTATGGTCCGGATCTTTGTACTACGGTGATAGTCCAAGGTAGAACCAATAAAGAAGAACTCGAACACGGATATGGAATAACACAGATATATTACAAACAGGAATATTTACAGAGAAGTAGAAAGTATTAGTGCGAACAATCAGGTTTAGTAGTACTTATCTGAACACCACTCTTTTTCGGACTGCCTCTGACTCGACTGACTGACTTTCTCACTCTGACTGACAGACTCCTGACGGACTTCACTCCAGATTCAGACTGAACTCAGACATCAGACTGAACTCCCTGCTCCCTCTTGAGGCTCAGTATTTATTACATAAGGAATAGTCCATTATGTTATTATGGGTACGGTCACCTAACAATAATAATAATAATAATAATTGTTATGGTCCGGTTCCTTGTACCACGGTGATAGTCCAAGGTAGAACCAATAAAGAAGAACTCGAACACGGATATGGAATAACACAGATATATTACAAACAGGAATATATACAGAGAAGTAGAAAGTGTTAGTACGAACAATCAGGTTTAGTAGTAATTGTCTGAAAGCGACAACTGTTTCGGACTGCCTCTGACTCGACTGACTGACTCGCTCGCTCTGACTGACTTCTGACGGACTTCAGACTGAACTCCAGACTTCAGACGGAACAGTATTTAGTCCCCCACCACGAGGGCATCATGTGGCACAAGGCCGGTTTAACGTGGGATCTCCGAGCCCGTGGGATCTCCGAGCCCGTGGGATCTCCGAGCCCGTGGGCTCGGCCAAAAATATACCCTTTGAACCGGTATAAACGGGTTCAGGGTCGGTTTACCTCCCCGAAAGAGACTCCGCCCTTCGGCGTAGCCCCGTTCGGGTTCCTCCCTGCCCGAAGGTAGAGAGTTCAACCGATCAGCCGGTCAGCCGGTCGCCCGACTTCAGACTGAACTCCCTGCTTCCTCTTAAGGCGCAGTATTTATTACGTATGGAATAGTCCATTATGTTATTATGGGTAAGGTCCCATAACAGACGGTTTGACAAGAATGATCGTATTAAGTCAAATAATCGACCTGAAATCCCGTATCCCTTAATCTTACGAAGGAGGCCGGCATGCCAAAACCTATCAAAAGCTTTAGAGATATCTAGAGCCACTTCAAGAGCTTCTCCGTTATTGTGGATATACAATTTCAGTTATGGCCGTGAGCACATCCGCTGTAGAACGGGAAAAGCGGAAACCATATTGCTTATCAGCGATCAGATCATGGGATATAAGGTGATTAACCACTTCGGCGTAGATTAATGATTCAAAGACTTTGCCGAAGAGTAGTAGGAGACTGATGGGACAGTAATTATATGGGTCAGAAGGGTCTCCAGGTTTCTTAAAGTCAGGTACAATAGATGAGAACTTTCAACAGATTGGGAAGCAAGATTCATTGGGGCAGTAGTTATATAATTTGGAGAGGGTATGAGCCAGTTCAGGAGCACATTACTTCAGGACAATGACCGGTATCCCGTCGCCAACGCTAGCCTTATGTGAGTCTAATTCTGAGATGATGTCCAATACCAACGATGGGGTTACGTGCAATTCGCTCAATAGAGTCTCGGTTCTAGGGGGGAGAATCGGGAGTGGGTACACCGGATGAGTCGAGAGTTAAGTTGGAAGAGAATTCCCGGGCAAAGCACAAATCGTGTAAAATCAAAATTGTTCAATTGTTAGATTAAGATTTGAACTGTTGTATCTTAGAAGTGATTAAAGATATTTTACTGGAATTCTTCGATGTTTTATAACACTATTGGACTCTACTTTGAGCAATAAGAATCAATAATTACGCTCTGGGCTTAACATCGTGATGAAACCGATCAGAAGGATCGGAAGCTTATGAAGAATTGAAATAAAGTTCAGATATATATATTATTCCAGGATAAACGTCTAACTTATTCAAGATGATCTTCGCCCTCTCTAACCTTTTAACTTTCTATTCTGGATTAACACGATGTCTCACACCTTTCACGTACGATTTTATTTTCAAGTCTTTTTTTTACTGCACTTTGGACTGTCATAGTTGAAACTCCTCTCTCACGTGTCAAACGTCTTAATGATTAAGTTGGACCTTTTCTAATTGATCTTTTCAGCTCTAAGTTGAAATGATGATCCATCTTTCTGTTGTGACTTTCTGATCCAGTTTTCCACTCTACTGTTCCCTCTATTTTAAACTTGTTCGCCTTTTGAATGGACATTGAAGATGAAAGCCAGAGTAAGAAATTCGCTACCATTACTGAAGGCCTGAATGATCATTTTCCCTCTCACTATTGTTCAGCTGAGAAGACAGTGGGGCTTACTCAAAATGAGTTTAACCTGTTCTCTTTTTAGCTAAAAGACTCAAAGGATTTTCAGAAAAATCTTACGAAAAAATGGTGTCAAGATGGCTTCAGTCTTCTTAATTCCCATTCTTTTAGTATAATAATGCTTTTCTTTTTCATATGATCTCTCATAATCAGCAACCCCCGTCTGAGAGGATTCATAACTTTCCTTCAGGTGAAATGAAAAAAAAAATTATTAAAATACCCCGTTGAGGCGAGAGGGAATATCGAAAATAAATTGTCTCTTTCTATCAGGATAAAGAACAAAAATGCTGCGACATTCTCATCTTAAAAAAGTATGCACTAGGTTTGAAATCCGCATCTTTCATTATAAGACTTGAAATGTCTTAAAGGGGTCCTTGGAAGAAAAATAAAAGTATATTTCCAGTTTCCAGTTGCCCTATTAAAGGCATTAATACAGGGTGTGATAGCTAAATTGTCGCCATTTTATATTGTTAATATTGCGCATGCGCGTTGTTTGGTTTTTGTTTTTGTATAGTGGGCTTAGTTCGGCAATGGCTGTGTTAAATATATATATATATCATGACGTAATTCACTCCGCCAGAAATTTGGAAACAGCATGCTGCCCTACTTGGCATTCTCGCCGGACTCTCCAATACAAACATTTCGGAGTATATGGGTGTCAATATGAGGTGAGTGCAGAGGATTCGGAAAGAGTTGGATGATATATCCAATCACCATCATGATGTTTGGAGTGATCACTAGTGATAACGACGTTATGCCTCCATCTTTCTACAGGGACTAAGACTCAACAGGAAGGCCTACACCAAGTGCCTTGAGAAGGCAGTGCTGCCCTGGCTCAAGATGATGAACGCTAGAAGGCCTTATGTCTGGCAACAGGAATCTCCAACATGCCACACAAACAGGAGAACCCATTCATGGCTGTCAGACAATTTTTGCGACCGCTTCACCTAAACTAGTGGCCTCTTAACTCCACAGACTGGAACCCCCTTGATTAGTATGTGAGTGGCACCGTTGACTTTGAGACCAACAAGATGACTTGTAACACCAAAGATGAACTGAAGAACTCTTTCATTAGTAACGGAAGAAGGTGCAGCCACAAAGTTGGAACCTCCGTCATAATTATTTCCTCAGAATTTTAAGCGGAAGAGAGAAGATACTACATTTCGGCTCTGTAATATTAATATTTAACAACATCCACACGGTGGTGATATATGTAGAATGTTGTCCTGATAGATAGATAGATAGATAGATAGATAGATAGATAGATAGATATGAACAGACTTAGATACACATGCACAGGTATTGATAGAGATAGATGGCGAAGAGAGTGATATATATATATATATATATATATATATATATATATATATATATATATATATATATATCGGTAGATAGAGAGATAATGAAGAGCCTGGGAAGGATAGATAGATAGATAATGAAGAGGCTGAGATAGATAGATAGATAGATAGATAGATAGATAGATAGATAGATAGATAGATATGAACAGACTGAAATACATATGTACAGACTGGCATTGATAGAGAGATAGATAATGAAGAGACTGATATATATATATATATATATATATATATATATATATATATATATATATATATGATATATATGGGGATAGGATAGATAATAGATAATGAAGAGGATAGATAGATAGAGAATAGATAGATAGATAGATAGATAGATAGATAGATAGATAGATAGATAGATATTTCTCTCCTCATATCAAAATATACATATAGATAGAGAGGGAGAGGGAGTGTGTCGATGTATATCAGTGAAAGAGAGAGAAACATACTGTGTAAGATAGATAGATAGATAGATAGATAGATAGATAGATAGATAGATAGACATGAACAGACTGAAATACATTTGTACTAGCATTGATAGATAGATAATGACGAGACTGAGATAGATAGATAGATAGATAGATAGATAGATAGATAGATAGATAGATAGATAGATACAAAATGAAATCAAGCTAATGTCTAAGTCACCGGAAGAAGTACAAAATAAAATAGACAAAAGCCAATGTGTGATTTAATCAAAAGCTCCCAAATAAATCAATTCCATTTATGGAATTCATTTCTTTTCTAACCTCTTTGAAAAAGCTCTTTTTCTTTGCCGGAAATCGTTCCAAAGAAAAACTTATACGTAAAAGAAAATCCATGACTCTCTTTATATTGAAGATTTCGCCGTAAACACTAAAAACCTAAAGAACCTCATCCCCCCCCCGCAAAAAAAAAGTAACACATTGTCGATCCAAATTATATTTTTCTCTTGTCCGTTCCTTTCGACATCGACAGAAGTTCTGTTCTCCTGGCAGGGTAAAAAAAAAAAAAAAAAAGGAAAGAAAGAAAGAAAGAAAGAAAAGAAAAGAAATCGCCTATGTTCTTTGTCATCGAAAGTGAATGAAAAATCCATCTTCACATCCGAGGATAATGTCAAGCAATAATGAAACAATATATATATATATATATATATATATATATATATATATATATATATATATATATATAATAACAATAAAACACGCGCGAAAAGTCTAGCACTTGTCTTTAATAACATTTGTTTCAATGAATTCTGTTACGCGTTCATGAAAAGTTTAGTTTGGGGCGAATTGGTAAAAAACCCTCATTAAGCAGGAACTTTTTTTTGTCCCTCTTTACTTTTAAGTTTATCTATGTAATCTACTCGAAGACAATAGCTGCTCGACACTTTTGGGAAGGAATGTTTGTTCTGAACTCGTATTTCTAGTTTTGTCGATTTAAGTAGATAATTTCTAATATGAAGTGGATATGAAGTCAGAATGATACCAGGCTAAGTAAAAAAAAATATCCACGTTTTCACCATATATTTAGTTTCCATATACTCCTTTCTGTACTATTGTTACCATCTTATCCCAGTTTGAGCTTCAGCTTGATCGCACCAGTTTTCTTGCTTCTGTTACAGTGTAATTATGGCCGCTCCGCTTGCAGTGTGCACCAAAGAGGAACAAAGTGCAGGGAACAAAGTATTAATTAAACTTTAGGTGTCAAGAGACAGCGAAAGCGGACAGTGAGGTTTTCCGGTCGCTTTCTTATATTTAGAGTTAAAATTGAGATCGATAGTAGTTCTTGTTAGTGCGGCCTTATCGAGTGATAGACTGTCACTTGGAGAGTTCAGATACCGCCCGGACATGGAGGCAGGTCACGTTGTCATGTGTAGATGGTCAGATGGCTGATTAGTGGGGAAGGTTGATCTTTTAGTTCAACATGGATGAAGTTGTCACACCTACGTACCTAGATCGATCGAGAGAAACGCTGAATAAAACAGGTCAATTTATCGAAAATAGTTTTCGAATTATCATTTCACGAAGTAGCCTTTGTTTTCGTTTCCTTTTAAAACTTTTTTGTGACCCCTGCCCCGTGTGAGCAAGGATTGATGCGTGATTATTTAATGTACAATTGGTGGAAAGTCGCGTGAAGGACCTATTGCATGTTTAATCAATACTCCTCTACATTGTTTCACGATAATGTTTTTTAACTTTTCATATTTTGCTTAGTTTCTTAAAGACATCAGGTACTATTACAATGTACAATCGGATTTCGGTGCCATATCTTTCGCCGTCCGCTTCTATCCCTAGAGTTAAATTCATGTACCTTCTTAGATTCTATGTCACGAGTACGTATATAATACCTTCGGATAATTTTTCTGTTGGTATCCAATTATTCTCTCTTCCTATACTTAACAGTTAGTCCTTTATTTACATTATTCGGACTAATGTCCTCATCTTCGTCGACATATTTATTACAACGTTTCGGCCGTTGTACGCTCCAGCCTTCTTCAGGGGGTTGGAATGTCGAACTTAACCCTTTATTTCGCTCACTGGGTAAACTGTTCTAGTTCCACGTGCCATGTTTAGTTATCAGTTATCTTCTGTTAATTTTCCCTCTGAAAGTTCTCCACTGCCTTAACCGGGTATTGAACTCACAGAACTTTGGGTTCTGTGACAGGATCTAACCAACGCCTTTATCCACTGTGCCATGTGTCCACCTGAAGAAGGCCGGAGCTTACAACGGCCGAAACGTTGTAATAAATATGGCGACAAAGATGAAGACAATAGTCCAAATAATGTAAACAATGTACATAGTACCTCATCCCAGAAATAGACAGTTAGTCCTTTCTACTCTTTTTTGTTCGTTATCTGTTCTAACAATTTTCCTTGCGTTTACTCTCAGCACAGTGCCATCCACCTTTCTAGTGTTGCCAGAAGTCAATCTTTATCATTCATATAAGCTTCAGTTTTTGCCACCTCCTCATTCATCCACATCGCGCACATTATTCACCGTCCCCATTTTATCAGTAACCCTCAACACTTCAAGTCAGTCGTTATCTATATCCCATAATCTCATAGCCTTTACTTCTTATTGCACACTCTTTCATCCATATCACGCAACTCATTCAAAATTAACATTTTAAATATGACCCTCTACCTTCAGAGGCTTTCGAGCCTTGTATAGAATGGATTTTATTATTACCCCACTTGACGAAGACTGTGTTATTTTATGATCTTTACACCATAGAAAAAAAAACAGGCCTATTTGGGGGTGCGAGATGGGAGAGGTTCGCTCCCGGCGATAATTAATCATCGACGCCATCGTGGGTCTTTTGCAACTGGAGTCAATTCCTGTTGATTATTCAAGTTTGGGGTGATAGACGCTGCAAATATCGGACTCAAGAATGGAAATAATTAATGTCTTCTTCTTAATGTAGGGTGGGGGTCGAGGGCGAGGGTTGGACGGTTGGGTTTTTCGCCAAATCGAAGAATGTGACGCGAATAATCGTTTCGCAGTTGCAAAAAGCGGAAAGATAATAGCGAGAAAGATTTGACAGCAGCGCAGAGGTGGGCAAAAGGATGCGAAGATCGAGTCAAACGGTCAGTTTAATTTTCGAAGCAGTCAAAGAACAAGGCGTGGCGGACGGCGGCCAAAGGTCAGTATGAAACGCTTTTCCGAACTTGTTATGAACTCAATTATGAAGCGAAAACGGTTTGCCGCGGAATTCGTCTCGCAGACAATGACTCGTGCCGTGTGTTCGATCCTCACCGGGCACTCTGGTCAGGTAAGGTGAGCGCCATATTAAACCAAGTTTCTGCAATCTCGCTTATTTTCATTCTGTCTTCCTGTGTTGGTCAGATGTCTCTTAAGGACGTGACTAGTTCATGATTCTCCACAGCTTCCTCTCTTTTGTTATTTCTTTATAACTCTTCCTTTTCTTAATGATATTTCTTTTTAACCTATATCCATTTCTCAGGGCGTTTTATTTTATAATCTGTCTCCTCAAGACATGACCAGTCATGTTCCTCCACAGCTTCCTCTCTTCCTGTTACATCTTTATAACCTCTCCTTTTTGTTTGTGATACTTGTACTTATATCCATTTCTCCGCCCCTTTTGTGCGTGCCCTATTTAATATAGCCCTTCAGAACGGAGCCGATGATGGTTCTCCACATTTTCCTCTCTTGGGTTACTTTTTATAAGCCATCTTTTTCTTTGCGATCATTTTTTTTTATATCCATTTCTTAGCAAGTTTTATCTTATAAACTATGTACCATATCTCTTCAGGAAAACATCGATAATGGTTCTCCACAGCTTCCTCTTTTTGTTACTTCTCTATGACCATTCATTTTCTTTTTGATACTTGTTCTTAGATCCATTTCTCCGTGACATTTAGCCTGTAAACTATGTACCATTAAACTTCAGGACATCACCGAACATGGTTCTCCACAGCTTCCTCTCATTTGTTACTACTTTAAAATCACACTTTCTTTGTGATACTTTTTCCATATCAATTTCTCAGTAAGTTTTATCTTATAAACTACGTACTATATATCGTCAGAAAATACCGATCACGGTTCTCCACAGCTTCCTCGATTCTTTATGACTACTCTTTTTCTGTGTGATACTGGTTTCTATATCAATTTTTGTGCTGTATCTTATACACTATGTACCATGTCTCTTTAGGACGTGATCCTTGATGGTTCTCCACAGCTTCCTGTAATTTTTGCTCCCAGCAGTACATCTCTTTCTTAATGATCCCGCTTTGTCCTTATGATATTTGTTCTTATAGTAATTTCTTTGTGAATATTGTCCTATGTAGAAAATAAATAATACCCATGAAAAAAATCCTTTATTATACACCCCCCACACACATGTAGGTCCAACTATCGATCCTCGGGGGGGGGCATCTGCATTAATGCAAAATATCTAGCAGAGTGGTCATTCAAGATAGCTTTCATTTCTCTTATTTTCCCAATGCTGTACTTTTATTACACGAAGGCAGGGCGCGACAATATCACTGTGGAGGACCAAATAATATTTTGATTTTGCATTATATATATATATATATATATATATATATATATATATATATATATATATATATATATATGTATGTATATATATATATATATATATATATATATATATATATATGCCATTCGAAAAACAGTACATTTTCAGTGTATCACAGCTCCTCAGTGCGAGAATAATTTAGAAGACGTTATTGTATTCATACATTAAACTGAAAATCACGTCAATATGAATACAATATCGTTTTCTAAATTCTTATAGTTGGTACGGACATTTTGTTTGTTGTTAATAGTTACTTTGTTTTCAATAGATTAATTTCGTTTTGCCTTGAAAAAAAACATATTGAACGAAACGCGTCGGTTAATAATACAGTTTTCCTATTGTCTTTTACCTTTATATATATTATCTTTTCTACAGGTTAACTGTGAGAAATTTTCATATATATATATATATATATATATATATATATATATATATATATATATATATATATATATGTATTGTTAAGAGGTCGACCTCTTTTTATACAAGTGGACTCGATCAGTGTGTACTTGTACTGCTGCCGGTGAATACCCGGGAGTGAGAAAGTGAGAGAGTGAGAGAGTGAGGTAACCGCTTTGTAGGAGTCACAGTTGCGAGCACGTAGACTCAGAAGGAAGTCACACTTCGATACTGAATTTCCCAGACTGTATATATATATATTATTATTGCTACTAACCGCATTTCTGGATCTACTAACCGTATTACCAATTGTATTATTACGTCAATATATTTATTTGCTATATTTCATTCCTGCGTTTGTCATTCATTTGAGACCGG